AATTATAAAATCACAATTTATATTCAATGCTTTATACATTACTCATAAACTAGAAAACATATTGTTAGTGCTTGTTCAGTACAAACATTATTGAATCATGACTACATTTATGATATTCACCCGAGTAATCAATGTGTGAATCATTTAAAGAATGCTTAATAGACAGTTCATTTGTACATAATAGAAGGATTACATTTGTACACAACGGACGCCATGCATTTGTATACGTAGTGGATGCTGTATATCGGCAGAAAGTGGACGGATTACTCGTGTACAGAACGAACGCCGTACAATTGCACATAACGGACAGACTACATTTACTGCTGACCCTTTAACAGGTACATAAAGCGACCATCACACCACACAACTGAAATATAATTTCCACAGTTATTAGACCATTAATCGGTCACAGAGCTGTGAACGGCGGCCAAATGCACATCCCCAAAATTTGCAAACTTAGTATTATTATTCATTTGTGACATTATATACGCCGTTTTATTCAATAATTGTGTTTAACGAGAATAAAAAGCCCAATATCCGTGACAGGGAAAATATTTGTGCCATCATTACTGCCAAATCTGGCCACGGTTCCTGCTCGCAATATCACATTATTGATTTTAATCATTTTTATTTAAGTTGCATGAGCGTGCAAGCGTTCCAGGCTTTTGTTTTTGTTTATATAACTCTGGCATTAGGAAGGAGAGGGAGGAGAGGGAGAAGGTCGCTGTTACAGTGTTCTATTACGGTACAGGAAAGGAAGAATGTTACTGAACCTTGGGTGTCCAAGAGTATAGGTAAGTGATGTATCGATGATCTCTGTAATGGAAATGTTCTTGAGAGCAGGTCGAAACCCCAAAGAAACGGCGCCAATAATTCTTGCTCCGAAATATAGTCGTTGTTATGTTCTTGATATACTCGGGGAATAAGTGTCTGAACGGTGACTACTGAGCGCTTATGGTGGATATAACGGCTGTACACAGATCAGTACCTGATAATGACTCTACTGACTGCTATCTGGATAATAATCCAATAAAACAAAAAGTGATAGTGTTCTCCTTTTTTAATCCAGAATCTCCACTATGCAAGTTAAACTGTCTTGCGGTTATTTAACATAAGCATCTTTCATTCGGATAAAAACTGTCCATTTAGTGTGGATATTTCGGCAGTCTAATGGTTTGGAAAGCATTAAATTGGAAGTGATTCTTGTTTCAAACGTGAACTAAGCTAGGCAAGCCTTGCTAACTTAAAGCGGGCCAATCTTCATTAGACTTGGAATGCGTAGAAAGTGTCGCATCAATTCCACTAGACCATCTTAATTTGTTACAGTGTTCTCGATAACATAGGAATTATGGCCTGTTGCTTTGTCGGGATTGTAAATGATTGGAAGCTTCGAAGGCGGCGTTATGAGGTTAAATATTGAATTACTTTCAACGGACATTTGATTTGTTTATATACTTTTTGATAATTCTGGAAGTTTTGGCTTCTGGTACTATGAAATTCAGCATCTCATTAATGCTGATGTTGAAAGATAAATGAACTGGCGAATTAACCCTAATGGATGAAATTCTCAGAGAGAAAGTTTGATATCCGGATTTTTCTTTATGTTGAGTAATATGAAAAATTCTTACTTGATACGAATTTAACTACACTTGGAGCCAATTAGTTTCCTGCACCGAATGTAAACTAGCATATGCTAGCATTTAGTGAACTATGATTAACTTTTTTTTATATTAATCGCCTAATCGTCAATTATAACATTACATCCCATAAGAATTAAGACGTATTTTTGTTGTACACTTTGAAATTTAATATCTTTATTTTAATTTTATATAAATAACTAGTAAATGATATTCTTAATGCTCCTATTAAGAAAAACTTGTTTTATATTTTTTTTGTATCAATCTCTCACGATTAACGAATTCTCTCCAAGAGAGAATTTGTTAGTCGTGAGAGAGAATTCGTTAGTTCATTCTGAAGCAACCAAATTCATGGTGCTTAGTTTTTCTTCGTATATAAAGTAATCAAGACTAGTTGAATTTTGTTCAATTGTATATAAAAAATTGCGCAAGTTAATGATTACAATAAAAAGTTGGAAAGTTAAAGTTTATGAATCATATGAAGCTTCTCAAATTCCGAGTAGGAACCGTATACCGCACGCGTTTTCCCTCTGGATCTCTACGCTAAGACGCTGAAACAGGAAACTGCTGCTAGCCCTTCAGTCTTTAGTTGTGTCAGTGACCCTAAAATCCAATTCTTTGAAAAAAACTCGTGACAAACTCCCCCCCCCCCCAAGGGACCACCTAGTGGGTCTCAGATAGGTTTAGAGACAAATGTGCACCGATGTTCCAGTTGTCTGTAGTAGTTAGATTTATCTGCTGGCCAACGGTTGGCTGCGCCACAGGCCTGAACACTAAAGGTGTTACAGATGTCAGCCGGGGTGGATACACATGTTTAGCCCTACACCAGTTGTCTACCATGCTTCTCGGAGTATACTGTGGTACCGTGTAGCCGAAGCTCAGGACTTTACGGGTTTTTGGGCCAGAAGACATGGAGGTTCTCTGGGGAATGGGGGTGAAACGGGCTATGGCAAGTCCAACTCTTGGAACTTCCGAAATGTTGACCATGCAAGCCATATGTGTTGGCTTCCGCCTTGTTGCAAATACACTTGTACGAAGGGTCTCTTGAGCCAAAACGTGTGCCTTTTGGTGACAAAAGTGATGCTAAAGAAAACGTTTGTCCTGCGCAAGACTCAGAGGCTGTTAGATTATTTTTGATTGGGTTAGGTTAAGACAGGTAAGGGTTAGTTTGGCTAGGTTAGTTTAGGTAGGTTTTGAAAGCAACTGGCGAATCGTTTGTTTGAAGAGAACTATGTATTTCTCCCTCGATGCCAATGTTATGTCTTTGCAATAGCACAACTAAAAAAATATTAAACACAAATACGAAAAATGCCTTTTAAAATAATTTGCTTTTGTAAAATATTATATTAAGGTTGATGATTGACAGTGCTGGATTTACACCTCTCTGCATGATAAAATTCGATAAAAATTAATTCTCATTAAAATTAAAACATTACTGTTATCAGCAAATTTCAGCTAACAATAATCAACATTAATTTGTGCAATAATTTTCTTTGCATGAAATTCAGTAACTGTATACAATTAATCCCGAGTTAATTATCAAAGATGCACCACATGTAAGAATTTTGTAAACATAAACAAAAAAACACAGAAAATCTCGTCTATGTTTGGAAGTTCATTTTTTTAACCTTTCTTTAAAAAAAAGTGCTCAAATCTTATTAATTTTCTTCAGCACTCGCTCTGGCTGTTTGTAATACTTTGCGGCCCCGTCCAGGAATAGCGCAACGAATTTATATTCTATTTCGGTGTCTTTTATATGTTAAAAAGACAAGTCACTGCATCCACTCAATCTTTCAGGACACGCGACTCATTTCACGCCTTTCTCTCTCTCTCTCTCTCTCTCTCTCTCTCTCTCTCTCTCTCTCTCTCTCTCTCTCTCTCTCTCTCTCTCTCTCTCTCTCTCTCTCTCTCTCTCTCTCTCTCTCTCTCTCTCTCTCTCTCTCTCTCTCTCTCTCTCTCTCTCTCTCTCTCTCTCTCTCTCTCTCTCTCTCTCACACACACACACACACACTCACGCATATTCTTTATGACTATTTCGGCTCTCATCCAACGCGTCTCTGTCTCTTCATCTTCGAGAAGTGAATTTTACTATTTTCTCCCAAAGATATTTTGAGGCAGCCTCTATTGTATTTCTTTTTCAGTGAGCACATTATTGAGGCAAAACACCCAGTTTGGACGTCAATAATACTGACGTGGCACAACCAGTTTTATACGTTAACATTATCGACGCAGCCCACATATCTATATAGCATTATCATAGAACTTAAATTATTTTATCATCTCGATATGTTAATTATTAAATATATGACTTCTTCTCCACATATATTATTAATATTGAACATGACCCAAATTTATATTTCCGAATTATTACATACATTGTAAAAAAAGGCTTTTGTTTGAATTACAATGCCATAAGGCCTTTTGTTTTCTACGTTATAGGGTCCCCTCTAAATCCTCAACTTCTCCCCCCTTCACTTTTTTTTTCATTTGTCATTTCATATGAAACTTTCTTGTCACGTGAAGTATTAAAACGCCGGGAGTCACTTCTCAACTTAATGATTCACAAAGGCTTGAAACCGTCTCTGCCTGCCTACAGGTTTTACCTCTCGCCTCATTTATAATCAACTACATTTTTTTACAGTTTTTAAAGACTGGTATTCACTTGTTTTACCTAATGAAAGTGTTGACCAAAACACTCACTAGAAAATGAGGAAAGGAAGACGTTTCGGTCCGTCCTGGACCATTATAAAGTCGATTGTGATGAGACGAGGGAGGCAAAGGTATTAAGTAGGCGAGAAAGAGAGGTGAGGAGATGGAAATCTTGGAGGAAGAAAAGAGCAAGGCAAAAGGTACGGAAGGTAAAGTGTAATAAAGAGAGTAATAAAGGATGTAATAATAGGATTCAGAAAGGGATCTCATCCTAATGAATGTGTTTTATCTATAAATGAGATTGCAGACAATGTTTTAAGTCGTTGACGCTCCACTTTAATATTTTCTTTGATTTAAGGTTAATGTTTATTTAATTACTATGAATATTGTATTGTTTCTTATTATTTATTATTATTATGAATATTAATATTATTATTTTACAGGTATAGAATTGAAAGATTTTCCGTTGAATCTACTCCACAAAATATTTATTAAAGTACGGAATAATAATATAAAAAAGTAATGTATAAACACCAAGAAGTGTGTAAACGAACACCAAGAATGTGTACGAACACCAAGAAGCGTGTACGAATACCAAGGAATTACACAGCAATAAAGCCTCCCATGACATCTTGGTCCAAAGACAAATTTTCCTTCCTCCCTGAGCCCTGACTCACGGGTCTGCTGCAGTGTTTTGTCTTGCCGGAGTGGAGATTAGAGTGACACCGGCGACACGGTATCTTGTTTATTTGTCTGCTCGAGTCGCGCTCCGGAACCCTTGTCCGCCTGGCCCTCTGTCTCAGGTTGGCACGACGCAGCGTCTAGGTGGGACGCAGCGGCGTCTAGGTCGGACGCAGCGGTGTCTAGGACGGACGCAGTGGCGCCTAGGATGGACGCAGCGGCGTCTAGGAGGGACGCAGCGGCGTCTAGGTGGGATACGGCGGCGTCTAGAATGGACGTAGCGGCGTCTAGGTGGGACGCAGCGGCGTCTAGGTAGGACGCAGCGGCGTCTAGGAGGGACGCAGCGGCGTCTAGAATGGACGCAACGGCATCTAGGAGGGACGCAGCGGCGTCTAGGTCGGACGCAGCGGCGTCTAGGAGGGACGCAGCGGCGTCTAGGTGGGACGCAGCGGCGTCTATGTGGGTTGCATCGGCGTGCAGGCATTCTTCTAACGTGATGTGCTTACTCTAATTCCAACAATCTCATTTCTTACATTCCACCGCCGTTTTTCAATTGTATTCTAGTTTCAGCACCACCATGCAGGTGTCTGTTGACATACAAGAGTTTATCAGGCACTACTAACTCTCTAATCCTTGACTTACCTGCTGATTTAAACAGCTGCTTCTAAACCAAATAAAAACACGATTGTAAAACGGGAACCAGGTTAATTAACCTGTACCTAAATAGAACAATGCAGAGTCCTGTTTCAGGTCCGGGTGGTACCTGACCTACCTCCACATAGCCTTTGTTTATAGTCATTAGTGATCCTCTAGATGAAGGCGCATCATTTTTATTCTAAAAAAAAAAACTCCGGTAAACTACAGCTCGAGGAAGAACCCGAACTGCCAGTATGTTGGTTGGCAAGAATTATGGCCTGCCACTCGGGCTTCTGGACCAGCTCACACGCTGATCGTTCTTGTGCCAGACTGGCCACTAGAGTCTAGGGTAGAGGGGCGACCATTGATGCACGAGCAGTTGATGCTGGTCCAGCATCGACGACAACCGAGGCCACATGCTGCTATACCTGGTGTTATGCTGACCAAGTCGTCAGAGGACCTAGGACTGGTTACCCGGGTTTCAGGTTGGTCCGAGACACACCACCACTTGCTTACTATACCGAGTTGGACTATCAGGTTATATGTTGACAACTGAGTCACTCTTGACGCTGTGCTTGACTGTGAGAGTGTAGGCGTGTAATCTAAGGCGATTAACACCTTTACTTGGGAATAAGACTGGGTGCTTATATTTCCTGATGTCACTTTGATGCCGTGCAGCGTCTAGTTACGTAGTGCACTATATTCCTTCATCCTCAAGTTGATAGTGTTGAATTGAAACGTCTTGAAACCTGTCATTTAGTACGGGGTTTTCTGTTAAGTCTGTACACCTCTTTCACTGTCTGACTATCTGGTAATTCCGTGTCGTCGTTCTTCTGCTATGAATATACACGGGTTTGACTTGGCTTTCGTGGCTGTACAATCTTCATCTTGTTTCCCTCCACAGACTGATAATAAACATCTTTATACAGCATTTCTTGGGTAACTGAGGGGCTTGTCATTGTTATGCTTTTCTGTTCCTTTTCCAATACATCAGGAGACACAGACTAGTGTACAATCGCTGGAGGTCCCTAGAGCGAAGTGCCAACAGACTTATTGACGCCCTACAGAGTGCCATAACAGTTACATACTCACCAAACTATATAACTGATAACGAAACGTATGTCAACCGCATTTAACAATCTTGTGTGCAATCAGTCCATGGCTCAGCACATTGGGCTAAAAGTTATTCATGAGAAATTGTCACACTTGGGTTACTCGGTGAACACACACACACACACACACACACACACACACACACACACACACACACACACACACACACACACACACACACACACACACACACACACACATACTCACACACACACACACACACACACACACACACACACACACACACACACACACACACACACACACACACACACACACACACACACACACACATACTCATACACACACACACACACACACACACACACACACACACACACACACACACACACACACACACACACACACACACACACGCACACACACACACACACACACACACACACACACACACACACACACACACACACACACACACACACACACACTCACTCACTGTTGCTACTCAGTGTACAGTCAGACAGATGTCACTCAGTGCATCTCACACTGTACCAAGAGTCTAAAGGCAGGTGAGGCTGAAGGCTGCAGGGGTAAATATGGATTTCCTGTCTGGCGGAGGCGCGACCGACTCCCTGGCGAATATATATTTGCCACCTCAGTGCCCAGCTATTGGCAGAAGTTTGTAAATATTGGCTTCATGTATATCATTTAGTGCAGGCGGACCTCAGTGTGAAGCAGTGTGTTAAGTGTGCAGCAGAGTGAGGCGTGGAGCGGCGGCCTCTCCTCTCTTACTCGTCACACGCTCCCACATCACTCCCGCTCACAGCACGCGCGTGCATACACCCACACACACACACACACATACACAAACACACACCTCTCATCACAAATCTTAAGAAGACCTCCGTCCATCACTCTCAGCCCCATCGTACACACACAAACACACACACCCCTGCTCCCTACACACACCCATTAAATAGTCCCTTCCCCCTCCCCAAACATATACCCACTAAACAGCACCCCCCCCAATCACGCACCCATTAACCACCCCTTCCCCAATGGCCCCCGCCCTCCTTCACACACCCTTTAATTTTATCCAGTAATGTTGGAGCACGTATCTCTTATTGCCAGAGCGAACAACTTTGATTTATGGTCATTATATAGACCAGCTAGAGGAAAATATCAATTCGTACGTGATTCCTTTTAAAAATAATAATAGTAACAACCCAGAGGAATGTTTGAATAAGGTCACTATAACCGCGTCCTCTCCGATATTCTAAGGCAAGTTTATCTTCATTATTCCTCAGGCTTTTGTGTTTCTAACTTCAATTAAGAATACTATAAATATGCTGCTTTGGGAAGGGGGTAAAAAAAAAATTAACTTGCGAACTTTCTCATTAACACTTTTGCAAACATGGAACAAGAGGCTTGTTCCATGTTTCCTAATAATATTAATATATTGGGAACATGAATTACTGACTTAGGTGTATTAGGTTATGATGATAGTTTATCAAATTTCTGTTAATTTTGACTTAAATTGAAATTAATATAAAATTTATAATGTAATGCAAAGCTTTATCATTCCGTAAGAATTTGTTTAAATATAATATTTCAAGATAATTTAGCTTGTTAGGCAACTTGGCCTATTTGGAACTATATATATATATATATATATATATATATATATATATATATATATATATATATATATATATATATATATATATATATATATATATATAATGAACACACCACACACACACACACACACACAGATATAGATATATTTTCAGTCCAGCGAAAACATCAAAGACTTCTATCCCCCTACCAACTCACCCCCCCCCCTCCCCGCACAATATCCAACTCCCTAGCCCCCCTTCCTCACCTCTCTTCCATCCATCCTTCTCCCTCCCCTCCCTTTCCGCCTCCCCCTCCCTCACACTCCCCGCTTCCACATTCCACCCACAACTGTTCTTACACGCCAAGCCTCTCTGGCTTCAGTATTTTATTCCACCATTCACCCACACACTCCCAAATCAAATGCCTACATTTTCCAAACCGTCCTCTCCCACAGGTTCTCTCACGCACGCATGCGCGCACTCTCCCTCCCACACACGCACTCTATTCCCCCCTCCCACAAACACACACCCCCCCCCACACACACACACACGAACACAACTCCCCCCACACACACACACGCACTTTCTTCCCCCCCCCCACACACGCACTCCCCCCCCTCCCCACAATTCCTCTCTCTCCCCCCTCCCTACACACGTTCTCTGCCACCATGCACCTCTTCCCCCCACCACAAGTACTCTATTACATAGCTCGCTCATAAACGTTCACTCATCATAATTGCAGACTTGTGAGAGACGACTGTGTAATGGGTAATTACAACACCGCGCCAACACAACCAGATGAGAAGTATTAATTTTTCATTTCAGTACATTTCTCAGATGATCATGTATGAGAATTTTGTGAGTGGTTGTAAAAAAAAATACAAAATAAAATCAGTGCACTCACCTTGGTCCTTTTAAGATGATTCAAGATTTGGATTTTGTTGACATAATTTTGTAAATATTCGCTGGTTTTCTTCTGATAAAGTTCAAGTAAATTTTTTTCTAGGGTAGATTTTCTCGTGGTTTATTATTGATTTATTATTGTTGTTATTTATAAAGGTTGTTCCTGGTGGTTGTTAATGTAAATTTTCGGTTATTTTAGACTTTTTGCAAAGTTTATTTGTTATGTGATAGAAACCAGGATGAAAAACGTGTTTATCGTTTTCAAAGCTTCAATAAAAGAAAAAAGAAATATTTTTTTAATATGATTTCCATTGTTCATGCTGGTGTGACATCAGAATTTAAAAAAAATATTTTACTTGTATTTGTTAACAAACTTGTTTTACTTGTTAACAAAAAAAATGAAAGTAATCTTTATGATGCAGGCTGGAAAGGAATCCAGATGATAGAGATTGCAAAGGAATCCAAGCATAAATATTTAGTTTATATTTGTGGACTGGGGGACAAAAAAAACATGCCAACTTGCGAAGTGGTTTGCCGTCTGTGGCAAACAAGGATGTTGCCGAGTCGTAGGCAATGTATAGACTCGTGGGCACTGTATTCAAAAACATTATATTGTTTTAATAATGAGTCGCAGACAATGTTTTGTTTCGTAAGCAAATATATACAGAGAGCGGCAGATATAACATTTAAATATCACAACGAATGCATAGCATGTGCCCCCCCCCCACTCCCCCATCTTCATAGGGCATTGAACGCACACATGGGAACTCCCCCCCCCAAACCCTCATAAGGCACTGAAAATATAAACAAACGCATATGCGCACCTCTTATAGTGCTCACGAACGCACTAAAGGCAGTTAAGCGTTACATCTCCCCCTCCCTCCCTCCTCCCCACTTTACCCCATACAAGAACCCCCTCTCTTCCCCCCCCCTCCCCCTGTGATAACCAGCGGAGCCCCCCAACAGTGATCACTCAATAATTTGTCAGCGGCAAGTTGCGCCATACGTCACTGTCTAGAAGACGACGCTTCCAGCAACATTCTTGCAAACATTCTTTGCAAGTTTGATCACCGTCGTTGCACGCTATCGTTTTTCTACTTATCTCTCTTTTTTTGTTATTCGCTAAAATTAATACAAACTATTTGTTAATTTTCCTTGTGAACACTCAAAAGCTTCTGCTTCAAATTTCTGGAATTGCATTTTGATAATATTTAGTGTGTAATTGAAATTTTTGTCTTATTCGATTTCAATGATTTATTTGGTTATCGATTTTGAATTTATTTTCGATAATTTGGTTTATTTTATGATTAATTTATGCAGAACTAAGCCATATAACTATATATGGCTTATAATGTGATATCAGGTTGTCGTATAACGTGATATAAGGTTGCTCACTTGTGAGATGATTTCTTTGAATTCACTTATTTTTTTTTAATATTAACTTTGTAAGATTTTTTTATTTGACGTCACGTGAGAGTTTGTTCTACGACGGCAGGTCCCACATCTCCCAAACTCAAAAACTTAAGAATCCCAGACGAGTCTCCCGGCGCCACGAACTTAAGCATAACGGATGTGTCTGGCGGGACATGATAACGTGATATATTGACAAAGTGTTAGCAAAGAGAGAGAGAGAGCAACAAAATTAATGATTTACTGAGTAACCGGTTTGAAATTAATGTAAGTTGAACGTCATGAGTTGTCTACAGTGTGACACTGGTTATCTAATTATATATATATATATATATATATATATATATATATATATATATATATATATATATATATATATATATATATATATATATAAAGTCAGAAGACTTAAATGTTAAGGTGGACAACAGATAATATAATCGAGGTGGAGAGAGAGAGAGAAAGACATTGACAAATTCCAGCACATAATTATTCACACAATTTCTCGATCTTTGGCGGCTTTGTTTGCAATTAATTATTAGAGAGTTCAAGAGCCCCGGAACACCAGGAGACGATTCATAACAATAACAACAATTGATTGAGAGGCTTCAGGGGCCACGTAGACTCTTTAATAAATGTAAACAAAGCCTGCCGAAGATTGAAGAAAGATGTACAGGTTTTATAAGGGGGGTTGCTTGAACGCTTTTTCTTGAACCTTGGGGCCCGGGTCAGGATAACCACAACGCCAATAGTTTCGGGCAGAGCGTTGCCTACACAAATGGTGGAGCAGCCGCCCAGTCTTTTGATTTACCACAATGTGCAAAATACGAAGTGCTAACCTAACCAGAAACGCCCTAGCCCAAGCCACCTAACCTACCGATCCATAGAAAACGTGGATTTTTTTAGCCGCTACTTTTCACTGTGTTTTATACTTTATACGTTTGAGGGGGGGGGGAGAGTCGGGGGTGACCGTAAGGTACGAAATGAGACGTACATGTAGCGCCAACTCTTAAGCATGATTACAGTGTGATGGTATGCACGTGGAATATTAGAAATTAGTGCAATGGAAATAGTTACTCTGAAAACCATAGGGTCGTATTTGGAAGGGGGGGGGGAGACAGAGAGAGAGAGAGAGAGAGAGAGAGAGAGAGAGAGAGAGAGAGAGAGAGAGAGAGAGAAAGAGTGAAAGAAGAGTGAAAGAAGTCAATAACCTACAAGGTTGAGAATATTATACTAAGATGGTTTCAGCAAGTTGAACGAATGAATGACTGAAGACTGAGAAGAACAATGGAGTAAAATTGAAGGAAGGAGGAGGAGGAGGAGGAGGAGGAGGAGGAGGAGGCGGAGAGCCAGGAAGGAGGAGGGAGAACAAGTCGTGCTTTCCACATATATCGTTCCGCCGTTTCAGCCATGCATGCAGCGATTTCCATCACACAATTCACCCAAAAAAAGAAATATATAGAAATAAATATCAACGCAAGAAATAAAGCTGTTGCAGAGCACCAGTATAGTACGATCACGTTCCGTCATGCATGTAAATTCTTAAAACAAAACAAGAATTGGCTCGGTTGGCGAAGAGTTCCTGGGAACAAAAATGGAAAAAAAGGTCAGAAACAAACCCCCCCCACCCCAAAAAAAAGAAGTTGAAATGCACCAATAACTTCATCAGCATTCCAACTACCCTGGCAGGAGCCGCAGCAGCAGCAGGAGTTGCAGCAGCAGCAGCGGCTGCAGCAGCAGCGGCTGCAGCAGCAGCGGCTGCAGCAGGCAGAAGGATCAACAATAGCAACTGCAGAAGCTGGAGCCGCGTCAACTGTGGCACCTAAATCGGCGATTCCACCAACAATAGCATCCGCAACAGCTACGAGTACCATCTGCAACAGTACCAGCAGCTACAGCATCAACAACAGCTACGAGTACCATCTGCAACAGTACCAGCAGCTAAAGCATCAACAACAGCTTCTACAGCAGCAGCTTCTACAACAACAGTAGCAGCTTCAACAACAGTAGCCGCTTCTACAACAGCAACAGCTTCATCAGTATCAATAAAAGCATCAACAGCAGCATCAACAGCAGCAGCATCAATAGCAGCAGCATCCATAGCAGCACTAGCATCAATAGCAGCAGCAGCAGCATCAATAAGTAGCAGCATCAATAACAGCAGCAGTAGTATCAAAAGTAGCTGCAGCAACAACAGCATCAACAGCAACAGTTACAGCAGCATCTGCAACAGCTACAGCAGCATGAACAGCAGCAGCAGCAGCTTCAGCAGCAACACCTAAAAACTGGAAAAAAATACGAAGCCAAACTAAAATTGCACATGAAAATAAAGTCCAATTTGGTTACCATTTTTTAGAGAAGTTCTGGAGAATCAACCACCGAATTTCCCGCGAGCTTTATTGGTGCAGATTCTTGTTCATGGTTCATGGTGGTAGTTCATTGTTCATTGTGGTTGTTCATGGTGGTCGTTTATGGTGTTTTGGGATGGTTGATGGATGTTCATTATAGTAATTTATGGTTGTTCATGATTATTGTTCACGGTTGTTTTCATAGTTATTGTTTATGGTTGTTCATTGTGGTTGTTCATAGTTGTTTATGGTTGTTCATTGTGGTTGTTCATAGTTGTTTATGGTTGTTCATTGTGGTTGTTCATAGTTGTTTATGGTTGTTCATTGTGGTTGTTCATAGTTGTTCACGGTGTTCAGAATTTATAGCCGTCATTGTTGTTCGTGGTTCTCGAATATGGTTGTCCATGGTGCTTATTGTTGTTCATGGTAGTTCATGGTTGTTGCTTATGATTGTTCATGACGGTTGTTTCTGGTTGTTGTCCATTGTGGTTCTTCTAGTTGATTGTTTCTGATTGTTGTATATTGTGGTTCTAGTTGGTTGTTAATAGTTGGATGGTGGATTCCTAGTGGATGTATTTTTGTTTTGAATTTGATTGTTGTCCTCAGTCTTTGTTCATTGGGTTGGTTGGGTTCAGTGCTGGTGGTCGTTCTTGGTTAATCTTCATCCATATTGTACTTTATACTTTTTTATGGTGCCTGTTGATAAGTTCTTTTTATATAGGTGACTTTGTGGTAGTTCATGGTGGTATAGTGACTTCGTGGTGGATGTTCTGGGAGGTGGCTTGGTCACGCCGTGACTGGTGGTGGTTGCTCGTAATGGTTGTATATCTATGTTTCCTATTTCTATTAAAAGCCAGAGAATGCTCACTATATCACTTCTGTGGAAGTATTCGATAAATTAAGGTAAGAACAATAAAAATTGAGTAATTGAGTACTAATTAATCCAGCAAATTAAGCTAAATAACATACTAATGAATACAGCAAATTCGGCATTTGAGAACTCTTAACACTAATAAGCCTATGCCGTTTGGCTGTAAGATTGAAGCTTGCTAAAGGATTTACATACGTGACTTAAATTAACATATATAGTACAGTAGATGGTTTGGATTTATTTTATCACAAAATAGAACAAATATATATATATATATATATATATGTATGTATATATATATATATATATATATATATATATATATATATATATATATATATATATATATATATATATATATATATATATAATACATAATTCAGTGCTGTTATACACCTTCATCATATAGATTATTCTGAGAATGTTAAAGGCCTGCAATGCATTCTGTCAATGTTGAACAAAATTAATTTTTTTTGGCATGGATTAACTTTATATGTGCCCCAAAGGAGGTCAAGTTATCTAGAGATGATCTCGGTGCTTAGCGTCCCCGCGGCCCGTAGTAGCTGTCTAACTCCCAGATACCTATTTACTCCTAGGTGAACAGGTCATCTGGATGAAAGAAACTCTACCCATATGTTTCCACCGCCGCCGGGGATCGAACCCAGAACCTTAGGCGTACGAATTCCGAGCGCTTTCCATTCAGCCGTTAGGTCCCATAGGTCACAGATTTTTCATACATAGGGCTCCACCTCCTGGGTCCGGGTTGCAGCGATGATAGTTCGGGTTCTGTAAGTTCAATTGTTCATTCTAAGTTCTTCCACTGTTCCGACGTTCATGAAAAACACTCTAGGGTTCTCCCTTTGAGTTCAATACTGATGCGCTATAAAGAAAAAAGCCAGAAACACAAAGTCTGTCGATACTGCTGTTGATGCAAATGAGACTGAACCCCAAATACAAATTTTGTGGATGTTCAAACATTTTTTTATTTCGTGGAGAGGGAGGAGGGAAGTGGGCAGCCTTATTGTTGATTTTGATCACCTTGTCAGTGTCATTAGGTATGCATGACAATTTGGACTAAGAGGGGTGGTGACGAGAGAGGGTCGAGAAGTATCAGTGAGGGGGCGAGCAGTGGTAGTGAGAGAGGTGAGAGGTGGAACAGAGAGGGACGAGGGAGAGTGAGTGAGTGAGGGGGTGTCACACGCAGGTGAGAAAGGGTTGGTATCAGCGAAAGGAGGATGTATTAATAATTTCAGTCGGCTTTGATTTTCGGATTATATTAAAGGCATTCGTGTGGATTTGAAAGACAATTGTATAAGGTTCATGACAATTTTTTTTAAGTGTATTGAGAAAGAAAAAAAGCACAATTATTAATGCAGGAAGGACAAGTTTCCATCATATTCATCAACTCTTCTGGGATGAGTGGGTTCTAACCCCCACCCCCCCCCTTTTCCTTCCCCGTTCCCTATTTTTCTCTTCTCCTCTATCCTACTTCAGTCGTCCCCCACTCCCTCCCCTTTCCAACTCACTCCCCCATTTCTCAGCTTTTCCCTTCCCGTCCCAGTCCCTCCCACCTCCACTCCCTCCCATATTCATATTTTTAGTGAAAACAAAAAAATGTCCGCAAAGTTTCTCGAGTAAAATAAATGGAAAATAAAAACGTGTTAGATTTTAACTTTATTTGGCAGGTTTACACTACATGGTGGCCGAATTTTTTTTTGCGTAGACTTGTGTTCGTACTCACCTAGTTGTATTCCCCTAGTTGTGCTTGCGGGGAGGTTGAGCGTTGGTTCTTTGGTCCCGCCTCTCAACTGTCAATCAACAATCGTGTGTGTGTGTGTGTGTGTGTGTGTGTCACTATCAATCCAATATAGTCGTCCGCGTGTCTGAGTAGCTCGGAATGTGGTGTTCAAGAGTTTTACTTTGGAAAAAAGGCTCTACACACACATGTTGAACCATTACAAATGCACACATACAAATGTTAGGTTTAAAATCCATCCATCTGAAATTCATGGCCTTGATATTTTCGCTAGTTCATCCATTCCATGAGTTAATATCTGTCACCCGCCCTCTTGTTCATATTGTTTTGACGAACTCATTATTCTCTCGAGGGGACCATACTGCTAGAAATAGAGCCATTGTGCTGAGGACGTATATAGCTACTGCCAGGAAATCTGACCCAGTTTTTTGGGTCTATCTCTAACCTCAATTTCCTACCGATCCACTTGACTTGGATGCACTAGATTCAGCATGACAACTAATCGACGGTTAAGTCTCCTCATTGGCTGAGACACTTAGCTGTTATGCCCATTCAAGTTCAGCTTTCAAGAGCTCATATGATTGACCAGATTGTCAATCATCTAAGTCCTCTAGGGTATCAGAGATATTCGTTATAATCTCCCGTCAATTGAAAAATATCTGGCTTACGTGAAACGCACCCCGATCAACTATTATTAATAATGATGATGTAATAAGTCAAGAAATACACACATAGGAAGCGTACTGCATATGTAAAATCACTACCCTGTATTTACAATAAGGTCAGACTACCTAAAAATGGTCAGCTTAACATGCAGAATATTTAGACCCCATACTATTTCTCTCTCCCTTTCTGTGTATCTCCCCCTCTCTCTGAATCCACAAACTTACAGCTTAAAAAGAAAAAATGACACCAATACATCTCCTTCGAAATGAAGCGGAATTAAATATACCTGTCAAAATTATTCGAACAGGAGAACTTTTTGATATTTACCTAACGTGGGGTCAATAAACAGAGCCGCAGTGTTTGATGTTATCCTGCTTATATAAATAGCCTTTTATATATATATAAATGTGAACAGTACGGCACAGCGACGGTTTCACGCGAGGTCAGCGAGGCATGACACGGGATTAACACTATCAGATGAGCGCAATTTTAATTTTGAAAGGTATTTTGTACACAAATGAGATTAATGGATATAATGTCATCACTACATGAGTGTGTTCTCACCATGCTTTTTGGCCTGGAATCACAGTAGACTTATAATGTGTGTGTGTGTATATATATATATATATATATATATATATATATATATATATATATATATATATATATATATTTAATATATGTTTATTAGTTATAAATAAATCCCCCTCTCCACGCCCTCTTAATCATATTGTGGGAGACTGTTCCCCAGCCTCTGACACTGGCAAACCCCACTCTTCTCTCTCTCTCTCTCTCTCACACACACACACACACACACACACACACACACACACACACACACACACACACACACACACACACACACACACACGCACACGCGCGCGCACACACACACACACACACACGCGCACACGCACGCGCACACACACACAGCGCCGAGTAGCTGAATGGACAGCACTCTGGACGCGTAGATCTAGGGACCCAGGAACGATCCCGGGCCATGGCGGAAACAATTGGAAACAAAAGTTTCTTTCACCCTGATGCACCTGTTTACCTAACAGTAAATAGGTACCTGGGCGTTAGACACCAGCTACGGGTTGCTTCCTGGGGAATAGGTGTGCGCGTGTGTTAAAGATATATGAAGCAGATATAATATAGGAAAAAAAAATAGATTAGTTAGCAAGGCGGTGATCCAAGAGCTAATAGCTTGATTCTGAAGACATATTTCGCTCGTACGAGCTTTCGAGAGACGCTTTCATTTTGTAGTATGGAAATTTTTAGCCTTAGTGGGCATACGGGCGAAAAACGATGTTATTTGTAAGAGGCCACCAAAATACGAAGCCACTAGACGACTGACTAAACTACCCAGCTGCCGTCAGGTGGCCAATCTTCGCATAAAGATGAATAAAGTTAAGGGAACTGGTGCAAAAATAGACAAATGACTTGAGCCGGGAGACAGG